CATCATAAAACGCCACTTCCTTGCATTTGGCTCTACTTATTTACTGTCGATGTTATCTTATTTAATCCTCATAAGCCTTTTAAAGTATCACTAACCCCTCCCAATAAATTAATAAATGGAAGCTGAAAGGTATTAACGAACCTGCCACAAATCATAAAATTAGTAATTGGTGGAGTCCAGGCTCGAGCTTATATCCTTTTCAAAATCCACATCTGCATTAAAAAATTGATTAAAAATCTTAAGGGGGAGGGAGACAATGTTGAAAATAATTATCCCTAATAAAGGAAGTTATTGTTGTAACCTACGCATTCAGACTAACACATATCCACCAAGCGGAGGACTTGTGCCTCCTGGGCTGCTGGTCCGCCCAGCTCTGCGGCCTGTCCTTGCACGGACCCCGGGAACCGAGTCGCAGCTTCTGTCCATTCCGGCAAGAGGCCGGGCTGGGAGCCTGAACCCGAGCGCCCCACGTCTTCCACGGGGCTGGCCGCGTGGAGGGAGGGCGGAGCGCTGTCGAAAGAGACGGGAAGAGTCCGCCGCACAAACTTGCCGTCTTACCTCTTGGCCTTGGTTCCCTTGAGCACGAGTTTGGTGGACTTCACGTAGGAGTATTCGGCCATGGCTCCCCTGACGCTCCGGTAGTAAGAGCTGGGAGCTGGTTCAGGGCAAAATACGTCGACCGGAGCAGGGCCGGGCGAGGGACGCAAAAAACTGAGGGCTGACTCCTTCAGATGTAAGCAGCAGCGGAGCGGACCTGACTCTCCCGGATCCCTGGCTTTTTTTCACGCAAGGATCCCCCCCCGTCCCAAATAGAGTCCCACTTCCTGTTTACAGCCTGGGGCTACGGCAGCCGCAGAGGGCCTAACCAGAGCGGCGTTCTTTTGCCGCGTCAGGAGAACTGAAGGGGCTCGTCGGAAGGAGGAACGCGGAGGAGACGCGCCCTCTGCTGAGCAGGCGGATCTCACAGCCGAGCTTGGCCTGGTGAGTCACTGGAGAGAACCACCTGCCGGGTCTGGGGAGGAGACGATAATATGGTTAGAGGGTGGAATGACTTAGCCCGCCCTCCAGGTTCTTCGCAGCGGACTGGTCCTGACGGTCCCCCGCAGCGGGGGCGAGGCGACGGCGTTACCTGACCTTGGACGACTCCACAAGCCAGCTCAAGTCCATAAACGTTTATTGTATTATTTTAACTAGGGAGACTCTAGTAATGGAGAAGAAATGTCGTAGTAAGTCCAAGCTCATTCTGCTTGCCCTGGGAGAAGCCAATAAAGCAAGAGAGGAGGTGTTGGGACGAGGAATAATGAATTTATTTGTAAAGCCAGCTGACGGAGAAAATAGCCAACTAATGTCCTAGAGGACCATCTCCCGAGTTTGAATTGAGGTGTAAAGTACTGGTTCTAGCCAGACTCGGAAGGGGTGGTGTTGATTTCTTACTGCCTGCAGCCATTCACAGGTGGGCCTGGTCAGGGTGTTTCCTGTGAGCTAAACAAAGGTAATTTAGCTTAACACTCTTTACCTGGGAGGCAGGATCCCTAGAAATGGGCCTTAGGTATAATTTAAGTTTATAGGCAACACCCCTTTAGTGATTAACAAGCAATAGAATACAAAGAAAGGTTAAAGTGAAAGAAAGAGATCTAATATAGAGCCAGATTTGTTCTTCCCTATTACAGCATCAAATAAGGAATAGTAAAAGACAATGACGTATCAGCATCTGGGCAGATTTCACTAGTCCTGTAGGAATTTGAGTGGAGTTGGGGTGGGAGGGTGGTAGTGAAAACTATTGTAGAGAGGTCTTTCTGTACAGGGTGGATCTTGAGAGGGATTTTGACAGCTTCAGTCACCTGAATATCTCTCCTGCCTGCTCCAGTCTCTTCAATAGTTTTATAACCCACCTCACTGATTCCATTCTATACCCCTTCCAAACCATCTTCTATAGTGCTGAGTGATCGTTCTAAAAAATGGCTGATCATTGTTCCCTTTTACCAAAAATCTATTAAATGCTGCTTTTTGCCTTCGGGAGGAAACATCCTAATATAACTTAATCGACTGATGACTGTCCTCTGATTCTTCACCACTGAACCCTTGCCACCTGTTTCAGTCCCACAAGATGACTGGAAATGTTTGAATGCTCTGTGTTTGTTTCTGCTGCCTAAAATGCTTCCCTGTCTTCTTATCTACCCTCTTCATGTGGCCCCCATTTTTCAGCCTTTGAGACAAACTCAGGCCTCACTTCCTCCAAAAAGCCATCTTTGAATGACTTCCTGTATTTCCCCAACTATCCTTCATTTCTCGTCCTATTGCTTAATTGTGTGCTTTTTAAGGGCAGGAACCATAGCTTATTTCACCTACATCTTACCTAATGCCTGCTTCACAGTAGACCCTGTGTAAGTGTCTGCTAAATTATTATTAGGATTCTGAAGCCTGGTGTGGGATAATAAACAGAGTGGAACAGTTAGAGTGTGACGACTAGATGGAAGGGGTTGTGGTAGAAAAAAAGAAGGAGAAAATTGGGTGGGTAAAGAATAGCAGGCCTTGGGAAGTCAGTTTCTTATTTATCAGACATCTCAGCAAAGATACCATGCTTGGTGATAAGAGGATACAAAAGATGCTTCCACCCAGGGCCTGATCTTAAGGGCCTTCATCTAAGTCACGTGCAGTGAGAGGCAGTATAGCATATAGTTAAGGGTGGAGCTTCTGGAGAGAGACTGCTTGGGTGGACAGACCTTGCTGTCTTTATAAGTTAGATGACTTTATCAGTTATTTAACCTCTCAATAACTATGTTTATT